TCTATTATGTTACAAATCTGTATTCAAGTATTATAATTTTGATGATATCAAACATTCATGGCATTCATATTTCCTTACTACTGTTACTACTACATCTATTTTAGTTGCCATGCTACTAACTTTTCAGGTCCACAAGGTCAATTGCAAATCAAGCCAACTCAAAATTGGGTAGATTAGGACTGAGTCAGTATGTAAGTGTAATTACAGTGGTTTTTCCTTTTCTTGAGTCAAATATAATAAGGTGGATTCTGATGCTAAGTAACCTAGCGCACACACTCAGGGGGAGAAATTCCATAAGTTTTAGAGTTTTTTTTTTTATTTTTGATCATATCATACGGGATGATCCAAAATCATCCTGGATGATCATGTAAAAACAGAAACCCTAATTAGGACATCAATGTCAAGCCAGACGGATTAAGTAAATTATCATGGACGATATGATCAAATAAAAAAGACTCAGCTGCCAAACTCTATTAGGTAAGATATTATTTTTAGAAATCATACAGGACGATCCTATATCATCATGGACAATTCATTACAATTATGCCTGAATTAGTCAAGTGATTAAGGAAAGTAATTAAGAATAGATTGATTGATCATATCGTTTTGGATGATCTGTTAGAAAAACTAAAAACTTCTCCTGAATCACCTGGACGACCAAAATGATATGCTTGATGATAATCACTGATTTTGAACTAATCATACAGTATGATATATGGAGTGTTTTGGACGATACATTATATTTCTTCATCATCCAACATTTATCTCCTAGACGACTAGAATGGTTTGTTGGATGATAATCCCTAATTTTGAACAAATTGTACATGACGATCTAGGAATCATCTTGAACAATATAGAAATTGTCCTGGATGATAAGTTATATTACTTTATTGTCCAACATATATCTCCTAGATGACCAGAATGATGTGCTGGCCGATATGTATGATTTTAAACTAATCGTACAAGATGATGTTCACATCATCCTGGACGATTAGAATAAATTATGTGTTCTAATCATCTAACACACCCAGATCGTCCTGGCTAGAAGGGATGAAATACACTGATCGTACAGGATGATCTATCAATCGTCCTAGATGATCTTTGACAACTAATTGGAAAATAGGGCATTTTTAGTGCCTTCTTTATAAGATCTCCTGATTATTGTTGAAAAAATCTTTTGTTGAAGTATTGACCTGAGAGAGCTTAGAGAAGGAGAGGGAGAGCTTGTGAGGAGAGAGAGAATCTTGTAAGGGAGAGTTTGTGAGGTGTTCACAAAGGTTTCTCCAAGCAAGGATTCGAGTCATCTTCTCTGTTCGTCGTTCTTAGCTCCTTGGTGGCTCTTACGAGGCCTTCATTAGCAATAGATCAAGATTCTATGCATGCTTCTGGAGGAAGCAAAAGGTGTTCGGGTTCTTTGTCTCACCGGGGTCAGTGAAAAGGAGTTTGTAAAGGCTTATATACCTTGCTGTGGGAGAAAAAGGAGAGACACTGTGTTTTAGTGCAATATATGGAGGAGAGGCTTCAGGGAGTGGACACAGGTTAAGTTGATTGAACCACTATAAAATCTGATGTGTTCTTTCTGTGTTATTCTTGCACTTTTTTTTCCGCATATTAATTTCTGTGGTTGATTGCATTGCATTTATTTTAACATATTCAAAAAGATTACTGTGTTTAAGAATTTTTAAAACTACCAATTTACCCTCCTCTTGGTTAGCCTTGGGCTAGTTCATAAGGCCTTAACAATCCTAATGAACTTTCATATTAGGGCACCACATAAGTGTTATTTAGATACTCTATTTCATCATATTGAAGTGCCATTAAAGTTTAGTTTTTAGGGCACATAAATGTTCCCTAACCCCTATGCCAATAGCCATCTAAGCAACAACATTATAAGATATCGACATCCCAATAGATCATGTGCCCTAATGACACTTATTAAGGCACTTTAAATGCCCTAATAGCTAGTATTTTTATACTTATCATCTTCTCCTTTAGACATTCAATAATATTTAGCACATTATTTAAACCATTTATTCCCATATTTGGTTGCCTCAAGAAGAAAAAAAAATCTATGTGCTCTTTCTTGATATCAATTATAATTTTGGAAATATAGTAAAAGGAGTCCTTATGTGAATCTTTAAGAGAATTCTTAACATTTTGGAGTCTATTATAGAAATCATATTATGGATTGTTGGACATGGGAATATATCTTGAAGAGATAATAATGTCCAAAAAATTAGGAAAATGACTAATAATTCATGTGCATGACTTGCATTTGAAATGAGGAATATTGCCCAAGGAAATCTATATTAGAGAATGATTACATGAAAACCTTGGAAGAACCTTGAAATATGTAGAAAAGCTATGTCCAAAAACAATGAATACGATTATGCAATTGATTGTTGAACTAACTATAACATAAATTTGCATTAGGAAGCTCAAAACTAGGCTGACATCAAAGATACAAGAATTAAAATCTATTAATTTGCAAGGAATTAAAGATTCACCATCAATTTTTTCTTTAACAGATCTTATGCAATTGAAGTCACCAACAATCAACCAAAGATTGATAGTATTATAAGATACATTAGCAATAAAATTTCACAAGAGTTTCCTTCGAATAATGCTGTTCTTAGCATAAAATGAAAGAGATAAAAAAAAATATTATTCTAGAAGAATGCTCCAACCAACTATGCATAAATTGTTGGTGCTAGATATAAACCACGAAAGTAACCTTAGCAACATCTCGTGTGACCAAAGTGCAGCTTCTAGAGAAATGCTAAAAATTATTATAATTATCTTCACGACCAAAATTTTGATAGTAACTAGAAAATAGAGGGAAAGAGAGAGGAGGAGGAGGAGAATATCATTGTCTCCATAAGGCAAAAAAAAGGACTTCAAACAATAATCTACAATTTGAAACATGACAACCACTATTAATATTCTTGACATTCTACAAATGGTGGATGGATAATTCAAGAATGCAAAAACAAGAGAAGAATAACAAGAAGAGACACCCCTCTGCATTGGTTTCCTACTCTTAGAGGCAGGAGCAATCATAGCCACTATCAGTGTTCTAAGTAATAGTAATGGAAGGATTAATTAGAATGGATGAATTGCTACTCATAAAAATATCCTTTAAATATCATTTATCCGAGTTTGTAATTGATTAGACTTGAAATTAAGAGAATTAAACTAAGATAAATCTTTGAGATTGACTAAGATAAAAAAAGTTGGAAGAGAAATACTACTGATATGTCATAAAAAATTATCTTGATCGGGCACGAATCTCGAGGAAAAAATCAAGTTGGAAACTTGAAAAATTAAATATGGGATCATCTGAACTCCAATTTCAGCAAACTTACAGTTAAACTGATCGTCTCGGAAAAACAAACCCCAACGACACCCAATTCAAGTCGATCCGAGCTCAAATGGGTCCAAATCAAAGAGCCGAAGCACATTCGGAAGGTTCAATCCATAATTTGGATTACCAAATGGTTTCCAAACATGACATGCTTATAGTCGAATCGAGCGGCTCGACGAGACAAATCCAAAGAGTTCAAGATCACCAAATTCTGATATCGTTAAGACCTTCAAATGTCTGACAAACGTCCCATAATTAAGGGATTCAATATCGGCCGTCCATCCGAACCACTCCACATTTGCCCTTGATCCTCCTCCTATTTACGGGTCATGCCATTCTAAAAAAACTATAACTTGCCTCTCATTTCTCTTGAGAGGGGACCCAAGAAAGAAGAAGAAGAGAAGAAGGAGAAGAGAAGAGAATAATGATAGGGGGAATAAACTCCTCCTCGACTACCGCCGGAATTCTGCCCGACTTCCACGAGACGCTGAAATTCTGTCCGACTTCCACAGTAACGCCGAAATTCCTCCCTACTTCTAAGTAACACCGGAGTTCCACCTGATTTTCAAGTGATGCCGGAGTTCTGCCTGAATTTCAAGTGACGTTGGAGTTCTGTCCGATCTCTAAGTGACTCTGGTGTTTTTCCCGAATACCATTTAACGCTGGAGTTCTCCTCTAGCCACCGACTAATGTCGGACTTCTTCTAGGACGCCATCCTTCTGACCTTCGTCTTCAGACAACAGTCCTTCCGACTTACACTCCCACCGACTACAATCCTTCCGACTTACGTCGCCCACTGACTACAGTCCTTCCGGCTTCCTTCGCCCGCCGACTATGGTTCTTCCGGCTTACATCGCCCACCGACTACAATCCTTCCGAGCTCCGTCGCCCGCCTACTACGGTCCTTCCGACTTACGTCGCCCACCGACTACAGTCCTTCTGACCTTCATCGCCAGCCGACTACGATCCTTCCGACTTACGTCGCCCATCGACTACAGTCCTTCCGACCTCCGTCGCTCGCCGACTACGGTCCTTCCGACTTACGTCGCCCATCGACTACAATCCTTCCGACCTCCGTCGCCCGCCGACTACAGTCCTTCTGACTTACGTCGCCCACCGACTACAGTCCTTCAGACCAAACAAACATATCACCAGTGATTCTTTGTATTCTCATCATGTAATGTGCTCCATATGATGCATATCAAACCAAAGCCTTCCCCCAAAGGAAGGGTCTCATTTGTAATCGACTACAAATAATAGTGGATTCATTCAAACTGCCATGCCCCGTGATTTTTCCTCATTTTTCAGGGGTTTTTCATGTAAAAATATTGGTGTCTGTTGTGAATATCGCATCATCTCTTTCATCTGTTTGCGTGCCGAATTTTCGTACAAAGTTTAACGTTAAATTTTATATTTCTCTATTGCCGCGAATACTCCAGAACGCAACAATCCTTAAACTTTCTCCTATGAAGAAAGCTCAACTCTTACTTTAACATTATTATTATTATTATTATTATTTCTTTTGAGATTTTGAGCAAGATTAATCTCACATACTTTGATCATTTGTACAAGTATTCAAATCCAAATGAACTTATGAGCCTCAAACCAAAAATCACTTATTTTTAGAAGAGCGGTGCATTTAACGCGGCTTTCTTTTCAAACAATTTCTCGTTGAAAGGCAACCCCATTTCAAAGTCGAACCCTCTGCCCAATTCGCTGCTTCTCTTCTCCACTTCCAAAAGCTCCCAGACCGCGAGAAAGCTCCGCTGTGGTTGATGGCGGGCGTCACCGGAGTTAGGGTCTTCGTCAACCTATTGTGTCGATCAACGTCGGAGGCGAGCTCAAAGCCGTTGCAGTTTCGTTGCTTTGGCGGTAAGCCGTCCCCGATGAGGCCTTCGGCGGCGGCGAAGGCAGTTGCGAATGCATTGGAGGACGTGGAGGTTCCCACCGAGGGGATTAGCCGCCCTCTTTCGGAGATCTTGAGGGAGCTCGGTAAGAAGGTCCCGGACTCCTTCGTGAAGTTATGGGTCGAAGACGGACAGACCATCAAATATGTCCCATGGTAGAAATTACAGTCCTCCCTCCCCTAGCTCTATTCTTCTCTTCTGCCAGTTCTCTTTGGTTTTAGTCGGTTTTGCATTGTCGTTTGCATTCTTTAAACATTTGGTTTGCGGTTTTTCATCAAAAGTTGGCTTTAAACCGGATCAAGTTACTTATTTGGAACCAATCAACTCTGTTTTTAGCTTCTTGTTACTCGAAGTATTATTTTCAAAGCTACTTTGCATTGCTTCTGCTTCTTGGTGATTTATTGGGTTAATGATAGATGATCAGATGATTTTTCTGGTGTGTTAGATTTTTTTTTTTTCACTTTTCTTTTCATTTACTTACCTCAGCAAAAAAATAAAAAAAAGGGAGAGAGGAGAGTTGTTTCTTTGCATGGTTTGCTTTGGACATTATAGATTTCTCTGCATCGTAGGAAGAAAATTCTCAAAAAGGTTAGGTGGAAAAAAAGGAGGGAGGGAGTGATGTTTCGTAGCATATGTTGTTTGGATAGGATTGAAATGTTAGAATAAATGAAGAATTTCACATCACCCAATGGTTAAAAAGCATAATTGTATTCCATTATAGTTGAAATCACTGATTGATCTATTGTATTGCTGGAATGAAAGTTGTTATGCATTCCTTTTCTTTCTATCACTTGACCTTTTAATGGAAGAAGATGTTTAGGGAGGGGACCTGCCCATAGTTTATGTTGCTTGCTGGAAGAGATTTTGTAAAATGTGAGAGTTTGAGAGTTTTATGCTCATCATAGCTCAGAAAATTCAAACAATTACATAATTAAGGAGTGAGAGGGACTTTTATGTGTAAAACTAGAGTGGAAAAGCCATGGGACCTGACTCAATTGTAAAAATCCATTGATTACAAGTTGAGATTATGCAATTTATCCATTACCAAATTGTTGGAGGGACATCAATAAAAGTTGTTACTAAGGAGATTAAAATGAGGATGATAATCTCGTGGCATTTATGTTATTAATGTCATATGTTAGTAACGGGTTCTACATAGAATGTTAATAAAATTTTTAGGCAAGTTTCTAGATGTGTTGATTTCATCTAGAAAATTTATTTTAATGAAAATATTCTATTTTAGAGCCCTCTCCTAAAAAATTGTTTACTTTGGGTCTTGCTACTAGTTGGTTCAAAGGCCATAGAAGAGTGTCTTGATGCGAGGGTAAACATTGGGGCCATTGATTATTATGAGTATTGAAAAGTTGATTTGGTGGGCTTTTACACAAAATCCATATCAAATTTTCATGCCAACTAGGCATTTATCAGAGAAAGGTTTGTTTTCCCTAGATTTGGTTGCAAATAGCATTTGTCACGTCAAACATTGTAGATATTTTTCTAAACCAAACATAGTCAAATCTTTCTTAGTTTATTGAAGAAAAGCATGAAAGTTTGACTTTCAAGTTCTGTCAAATTATTAAATTGTGATGGAATTTTCATTGTGGTACATTTTGGGCATTGCTGCAAATCATTTTCTTCTTCTCCAAGTTTATTATTAGTTGCATTGATTGTGAGAGCTTTTATTAATGCCTTTTTGAGATGAGGGAGTATGTGACGAAGTTGTTTGAAATGATGTGGGTTACAAAGTCATGTATAGAGATGTAGGTGATGTGGCTAACTAAGTAGTGGGGGTGGGGGGGCAAGTTGCATGAAGAATAAGTGGCAGGACGGTTTAAGTAGTGCATCTTTAAATTGTCTAAAGAGGTGCAAGCTACATGGCTAATTAGGAGTGGGTGGAAAAGTTGCTTGTTGTAATGCTGGAAGTTGATGATGTTGTTTTCTAGAGCTTGACTTCACACTCATTCTAAGGAATTAGTGTTGCTGAATATCATGTTTTTGTAGTACAAGTGACGGGTTTTCTTCAAAAAGAGGAAGCTTAATTTGTAGCCTCCTACTCTACCACATAGGACTTGGAAGCACCATAAAGGTGCCAATTGTTTGGAGTTTGCATTTTCATTTAACACATGAAGTTTGATTATTGTATGATTTTTCTTGCTATTACTTCGATCTTTCACTAGTCTTTGTGTAGATGTCATTTTGGCTTGAAATTTATGGGTTAACCTAATAGAAATATTTTCTATCGTCCATAGTTTTTTTTCATGAAATTTTGATTTTTTTGCATAAAATGATTTTTGTAATGTGAAGTGGCCGGTATAGGCAATGTAGCTCCAGATTATTGTTTTTATTGGAGGCTTTCTTGTAGGAATTTTTCGGAGTTCAAAATACATAAATTAGATGCCTTTTTTTTTTTTTTTTCATTCTTTGTCATCCGAGTTATACCTACTTTCCCTAGGTCACCCACAACTACCCTTGTCAAGTTGCTTTCTTCTTATGAGGATCCCAGAAAATAGAAAATTTACAACTTAACAATGCTTAATTTGAGTGATTTCTCTTCCAATGAAATGTAAACTTTTTTCAAAAGATTATGTAAGAAATTAAGTTAATTTAAGGACTAAAAATATAACATAGATGCTAGAAATGTTACTGAAGATGTTACCTCATACAATTTCTTTTAAACTTAAATGTTGATGCACACTTTGAAATGATTTGTTTTGAACTCGTGTGCTCTAAAAGTTTGTTGACATGTCTGCTTCAATCCTCCATGAAGACATACTATCATTAATACCAAGTGCATTTGAAACTTATGTATGTCTAGGTGGTGAATACAATGTAGCACATTTAGGAATCCAAGCATATGGAGATATACTAATAAAATTTATTGATCTCCTAAACTCATAAGATTTAACAATTTTTTGTTTGGGAGTCTATTTGTGTGCATATTCGTGATGCAAAATTTTGATATGTATATGACATGATACCATCAAGTTTTGATGTGTATTAGTTTTCCCATCAAGACGTGCTTATTAAGTACTAAGGTGTTTCTTTGTTTTAAGGATATAAAAATGCTACCCAACATGTTGTTTTAAGGATATAAAAATGCTACACAACATGACCTGTTCAACAGTATTCAAAATAAAATTTATAGTTAAAGCATAAGCCTTAAAGGGTGTATTAATGGTTTGGTAATTTTATCTAAGGAAATTATTGTTCTTTGTGTAATATTTATTTATTTTGTACTTGTAAGGCATTGTATCTTCTTGTTTCTAAATGTAGATTAGGATTTAAGAGCTTTAAAAATGTTTTTATGACCTTTTCTTCTAAATTGTGGTGGAAATTTTGTGCTCAAGAAAAGCATGAGGCTGAATTCATGCATATTAAATATTTTAAAGAAAATAATATTATGTTGGTAGGGGTTAGGAATTTTGAATCCTGGCTTTGAAAAAATTTGGACTGAGAATTCTTTGAAAATTTTATTTTCTGGGGTGTGGGTGTTAGTAAGTTTTTTTTTTAATAATTTTTTCTAGCATGGTTCAGGGACAAATCTTTTGCTTGTTACCTCAATGTCATTGTTCTTTAACTGAAGTTATAGATTTCTTCTTAGGTGATAGATGTTATCTATGTGAAGGTTTTGCTTTTCATATTTTAGATTCTTCTTTAAAAGAGGAATAAAGATATTTTTTTATGTAGTGTCAGCCTTGATGATTCCTTTAGAATCAAGTGTATATGGGAGGTTTGGCATTTTGGAGTGGATATAGATTTTAATGGGTTATTTTGGCATAAATGGATTCTTACCTGGATGTTTTTCTTCGTTTACTATCGATTTTGTTAGCCTTTTCCTATTAATCTTAGGTTGCAAAAGTTGGATTTTTTTCCTCTAAATGTCAATTTTATCCTAACTTCGAGCCTTTTTCTCATGTATTTTTCCATAGTTCTAGTGTTTCCAAGGTGTGATATCATTATGCTTCCTTTTTTCAGGTTTAGATTTATTGTACTGATATAAAACAACAACAAGTGTTTATCTCATTATGTGAGGTCGACTACATGAATCTTTTTTTCTCTATTGTGTCGAATTCTAATTTAAATCTAATAAAAAAGTCTTTTTTAATAACTTTTTATCCAAGTCTTTTTAGTACTGATAATTAAAGTTTATGTTGAGTTGGAAACATTTCGATTTTCGATGTGGCAGTGTTTGCCTCTATTTTGTTGTTCTGTTTTTGTTCTTTGATTTTATTAACTTGAGAGAAATATCATGAAATTTGACAATTCCTCTTTCAATTCATATAATTTTATCTATAGTGTAAATAATCATATTCAACTTTTATTGGATTTGGTTTATTAAATGTTAACTTATTAAATATTTAATGGATTGTTCATCTGCCCTAAGAGACATGCATAGCATCACCAAATGGAACTCACATATGCCTCATGAATAAATTGTGCATCCCGTGAATATACAAATTCTCATGAACAGACAATGCGTCTTGTGCAAGTTTAAAATTGCACAATTGGGTATTGAGGCTTTTTTCATCCGTGAGGCGAGGCGTAAGCCTCCAAATTAAAGATTTGCATAAAATTAAAATGAGAATTTTTTTTATAATAACCAAATAATATATTAAAAGTTAATATAAGAAATAAATTATCATATATACAAAACACAAAAATGCACAAGATATAAAATGACAAGTAATAAATTGTGTGAAATAGAATTAAAATCCAAACATCACAATAATAAAATAGCATAAAATATAGTTCAACTTAAAATTCTATATTTCTCAATATTCTGTTCATCAACATTTAATTCAAAAAAGTTATAATAATAGCATATCAACACATAAGTCATCAGCCTTGTCATCACCGAAGGGAGTCCAATAACTTGCATTATTTATGACCACTTATACAACTGTATCCTCTCTTACTTCCTCAATAGTTTTATCAATCATTTTGAATAACATGTATGTATACTTAATAAAAATTGATGCTTCAACATATTTTAAAAACATAGTTTGATGAGGATTGTTGAAAGGAAGGTGATAAACTTTTGTCTTAATTCTGATTGATCATTTGAAATTATTTTAATTTCTATTTCAACCTATGTTTTCTTCACTTTATTAATCATTTATGTTGTTATTCTTACATTCTCATCTAATAACCATGTTTTGAAGCTCATACATACTAGGAAGATCAAATCCTCAATTATAATGTCAACAGAACGAAGTATATTAATTAATGAACAACCCCTTATCGTGCTGAATGGAATTTCATTTTCATAAATGCATATTGCAAATCTAAACATACTCCATTCCAGTTTTCTTTTATCGAAGTTGGAGGAATTAATTAGGATTTTTTATTACCTTCATCTAAAGTCACAACGGTCCTTGAGTTCCTCACAACAAAGAAAATAACTTTCACTAATAAAATTATCTTGTTGAGAATTAAAGTTATTGCTAGTTACAATCATTTCCTCCAAATTTTCTTAAGCTATTTCTTTCGAGGTGGTATAATTTTTCAAATTTTCTGGACTTCATTATGAACATCCTTTGACACTTTTGCACATGCTCTGATGTTAAAGTGTGTGCAAGTAAGTAATTTGTTAATCTTTTAACACCACTAATATTTCTGTTGTCACAAAATTAAAATTTTAAGCCTCCAATAACTTCGACTTGAGTAATATATTTCTAAGATATCTTTTAGTGCCATCAACCATTATAATAACTAAAATAAGAATAATAATATAAATATCAGGTAAATAGAAAACAAAAATATCAATGAAATAAAATGAAAACATAGTTAAAAAGGAAAGTAAAAACCTAAATCCTAAATTATAATTAAAAAAATAATTAATAGAAAAGAAAAAAAGATTGATAAAAAAATTAAAAACTATTAAAAAGAAAATGAAAAAAATTTAAAAGAAAATAAAAATAAAACTAAGAAAATGAATGTAAATTTGGTTAAAAAATACTTAAAATGAATGATAAAATTTTCGATAATAATCATTTTAAGTGCTGAAAACAATTAGAAGAAAAAACGGGAGAAAAAAACATTGAAAAAAATAAAAATATCTTTAATTGAAACCGAAAAAATAAAAACAAGAAAAATGAATATCAAAGCAGATAAAAAACAGCAAAACAAATAACAATAATGAAAAAAAATTAAAAAAAAATAAAAAATCATATTAAGAACATAATAGTTAAAAAGGAAACAATAGTAGTATATTAAAAACATTTAAAAATTGTTAATAAGAAATATATCCATCTGTCTATCTGTCTATATAAATAAAACGAAAAAAATCAAATAAACATATGTAAATAAAATCTGTTAATGGAAAAATTAAAAAAAAAGTATCAATAATAAAATAAACAAAATGCTTAAATGAAATTAATTTTTTTTAATAAAGAAAACCTTTTACCTGTTCGCATTCACATGTAAACAGATTGTAATCCCTCCGCATTTGTAATTTTCCCTACTCACAGTCGCTGACCTTCTCTCCCTACTTCAGATCTCCTACCTCCTCCTGCCCACTCTCAAACTTCCGATTTAGAGTCCTATCGAACATGCACAATCGAGGTGAACCACTACCCTCTCCCTTGCTTAACTCTTGAACCACAATTTTAACCTAAAAATATTATCCACCTTGGATATAACTTAAAAAAAATTCCCCTCAATTAGGTATTAATTTGAGGCCTACACCTTAAATGTCTTAAGACATACGGCTCAACCAAAAAGTTTTAAGCCTCATACATGCCATAAAATTATAAGCCTCTAGACAATTAAGGGCACTTTATGATGAGGCATGTGCCTCTTATGCCTTTTAAAATCATTTCTTACCACTTTATAAATCAATTTTTGGTTCCATATATATATATATATATATGCTTGTATTATGTTTCATAATGCTTGTTGATTTATCCGTTACAACATTGATCTTATTTATTTTCCTAGTATATCTAACTGTAACATATAAGGTTTGAAGTTGTATAGTCCCGTTGCCCTCAAATGTTTAAATTCTATTTTTTATATTTACCTTTTTGTGTTTGTTTTAGTGCCCAATGTTTAAAGCTTTCACTATTTCTTGATGATTTTTTTAATATTTATTCAATCATTTCACTGGCATTTGGGTTATAATTCTTGTATATGTTGTTTATATTTAAAAATAATAGTAAGTTTTTGAATTATTTAATAGTTTATGATCTCTGAATCCTCAAGTTTATTTGCATGATTTCATACAATGCATCATAATAATTACATAAAAAAATCTTGACCTTGAACCGTCTTGCATCATTATATTGCTAACAACATATAATGGATTTATCTATCAATATTATATTGTATTTTATCTTTCTTGCAGGCATATTATCAACCGTATTTTGAACCTGCATGCGCCAGGTGGGTTATCTTCTTTTTTTCCCCTCAACTAACAGATCATGAATTGTAGATGACAGGAATTTTCTTCACATTGTTTTATTTTATTAGAATGGTCTGGAGAGATTCGAAATATTGTTTATTCTGCTGATGGAAAAGCTGTAACCGTCATTTATAGAGTCACTCTTCATGGTACTGATGCTGAGGTAAGCCTTTATTCAAGATTAATACTATTATAGGCACATTAAATTATTACATGGCTTAACTCAGAACTTTTATGTATGAATATTGTATTAGTTAATGGTTATTATCAACGAACATCATAAAAAAGCCTTCTGTTTATTTGTTCGGGATACCTTTTCTATGCGTTCATTCATGTGCCTACCTCCACAGGAAGATGCAACTATAGCTGTTCAAAGTTCTTGTGCGCAATTATCCATTTATTGGTCCTGTAGAAAATCTCTATTGCTAAATTTTTCTATCACAAATCCTTATTCTTGTGGTTATGTATTTGAACCTTTCATATTGGCCGTAGGAATCGAGTCGTTTATTTTTGTAGTTTAATATTTGGTGCCTTTTACACTCATAGACAGATAAAGGAAGACCATTTCTTAACCTCCTTTTGTTGTCAATATATTTTTGTTTGAAGTATTTTGAAGCATTTTAGCTTTCATTAGGTGACGATTGGTTGACAGCCGTGCTTTTATCATTTGACAATAATATAAGTGAAGATAATGCCAGTTTTGGATAACCTTTAAGTTTGACTTTATTGAATTTTCAAGAATGAAGGTGATGAACTGGTTGATTTGATTGAGAGAGAATTAGGAAGTTTCTTAATCAAGAGGGAGCTATTTAGGAAGGTTCTTAATCAAAGGGGAATTTCTTAGGATTGTTTTAATTATAATTGGGAGGGAATTATTTAGGGCAAGAGATGTAATTTAAATTTAAATTCTAAGAGTGAATTATTTAAGAAAAAGGAGGAATTGTGAGGGATTGTTTAGGAAAGTTTTAATTACAATTGGGAGGGAATTAATTAGAGAAATAAATCTAATTTGAATTCAAATATGTGAGAGAATTATTTAAAGAAAAGGGACTGATTTTTGAGGGAATTATGGGAGCCTATTTAAAGCTAACAATAGGGTGTTTTGAGGATTTTGTTTTGAGTTTGTTGAAATTAGAATTTCTTAGGTTGTGAGAGCTCTAGCCACTAGCTAGGGATTTGAGAGAGCCGGATCTTCCTTTCCAATTGAATTTCTAGTTGTGTCTTGTTGTTCTCCTTCATATATCTTGAATACAAATACTTTTGATGTGTTCTTTCTAATTTCTTATTATCGTTCGCTGATTTCAAAGAAATTGTATTCATTTCCTATCAGAACTTAGAAGGTCTTATAACAATAATACTAATCTTATTTTCTTAAGCATTAGCAATTGTTAAATTTTTTTGATATTTTCTGGTGTGGAGATTAAATCTATATTTGTATGTCTGAAGAAATTCCTACAAATCTAGAGAGTATGAGGGATTTATGCTTGTCATAATTTTAGGATTTCTAGCACATATGTATTAAGAAAGATTATTTTTATGAAAAAAATTCTTAGGGAAAAATTATGGGGCCTAACCCATAGGAGAAACCTCATCATTATTATCATCATGACTTATTCCAACTAATTGGGGTCATTATTATAAAATTCTTTTTTTTTATTCATTCCTATAATTGTTGTCTGAAATGTTAAATCTGATCTTTGCAATTCCTTTTGAATAACTTCCATTGATGTCACCCTAGGCCTTTGCAGTGCTTAAAGCCCAAATGGAGAACTTGCACTATCATTAGCATCTTCAAACATCAAAACTTCATCAGTTGTCTCCTGGAGATAACAATGAGTGTCATCACATCTTTAATGGCACCTCCGGGTAGTATAGATGGGCATTATATCTTATTAGCAATAGTACATATGTGGAGGTTTAAGAATTTCTCTAAAGTTATAGAAATGTAAAGACCTTGTTCCGAATGAACTAAATTCAAAGTTAATTCATACACTTGAAATGGGATAATTTAGACATTCGATTCCAAACTTCATACTTATTCAGTACAAACAAAGATATAAACTGCCCCATTTGTATGATCCTACACATGGGCCAACCCTCTCGACAGCATTCATCATTTGCACAATTTCCAATCAGTGATCCAAAAATATCCAATTCATTGGTGAATATTATTGGGAAATAGGAAAAATCTATGTAAGCATATAGAACGAAAATATAAAAGATTGGCAAATAAAAGACAAGAATTTATACAGGTTTACTCAATTGATGGCTGTCATGTTGCTGTCGCTATAGATTTCAATGTGAATTATGGAGAATTATAACCTTAATTTTTATTTACATTAGACAGTGTACCCCTTTAACTTTTAACAAGGCAGAATGGAGAAAAAAGGTTCATGTAGTCAACCCCACAGTGGCATAAAGGCTTGATGTTGTTATTGTTGTTGTAGTGTCCCCCGTCTCATAAAAAAAAAATCTAGGCAATGGAAAAATACTATAAAATTTTCAAAACTCCTATGATGGAAGAAAATATTGAATATTCAGTAAGTGTATTTTCTTTCTTAAGCATAAATTAGACGCACAACATTATCAAAAATCCTAAGCCTAGGCCAATCTGCTCAATAACGCCAATCATTTACACTATTTCCAATTAGTAATAAAAAATACGAAGTTGCTGGTAAAGAGTAACAGGCAAAATATTGAGGTGGTTTGTCGCCTCTTTCAAATGGTAGAAACAGGCACCAATATTTATGAATTCTGTTAGGGAACTATTCCACTCCCCAAGAGAAATGTTTAGGGATGAATGACTCCAAAGAGGTAGACCTGGGTACCTATCCAACGGTGTCCAATCAACCAGCAACGTTGCCTCCATCATCCTAAAAATAACTTTGGATGCGCACTAGCGAGTTTTTGAAGAGACTCTAACTTAGCTGGTGTTGTACCAAATCGTTCTGGCCATGATTTGAGCATACAAACAATCATAAAATGGCTCATCTCTCTAGAGATTGGTTGTAAGTTGATCGTACAATCAAGTCTTCAGACACCTACTAAATCTAGTCTAACCAAATTGGATTCTAAACAATACTCAGTCTAATACCCTCTAAAAATTGAGAGAATCTATTAGGAAGCAATACTTAAACTTTCTAACTCGAGCTCCTTTGATAGACAAGCTTGAATTTAAGCTCAAGATCAAGCTTATGGCTCCACAAGCTCACTCGCTACCTCATTATTAAGTTGAGCTTGAGCTGGCTGGACTCACACTTCTACTTAGGCTTGTGTAATCTTGCTACGATGGGAGCTAGATAATGAGACAAGGGGTTCAACTAAATGACTGTGTATGTTGCTGTACTTATCAACTGTTTTTTGAGTTTTTTTTTTTTTTAATTTTTTTTTGGGACATTTAGGTCATTTAAAGCAAACTCACACACATAACGCATGCACAAAAACTCGAACCCAAGACCTCTTAGTTGGAAGCCTAAGCTCTCAACCAACAAGCCAAGATGAGTTGTCTCTTTTTTAGTTCTACCTTTACTTGAGACCATTACATGATCCGGTACCTTAGCAGATAGGAGGAGAATAGCATAACAAACTAATGGTAATAATTAAATATCGATTATAACGATAGAATCAAGCCCATGAAAGTTTTATATGACAATATTTTATAGATATTTTTCATTTTCCGTAGAAGCTAAAGTAAAGGTGTGTAAAAAAGTAAGCTTTTGTGTAGCATTCAATATGAATAAATGGAGAAGATATCTAACTTCATATAGCTGTGATAACTCAAGTCTAATGATGATGATGAAAAAAAGTTAAAATAAAATCGAATTTACCTGATGGAAACTTTTATACAAATGGCATCCAGATCTACAGAGAATCTAGTGGAACTGCTTCTCTTGATGACACAAACTATGGAGATCCAGTGCAGAAGGCTGAAGCAATGGCATTCAGACGAGCCTGCGCTCGTCTTGGCTTGGGACTTCATCTTTATCATGAGGATTTGTAGAAAAGATGTTGGTTTCCTCTTTTGCACCATGCAGTTTTCCTCTGTAACGACTTGTTTCTCGTTTTGTTTATGAAGCTTTTTAGGCTTTGTTTGGGATGGCTTTCTGATTGCTTCTTAAAGCAGCTTTTTAGTTTATAAAAATTATTTTTGTACTAAAAAGCTGTTTTAAATTGGGAGAAAGCTGTTCCAAACGAAACCTTAATAAGATTCATATGAAAGAAATCTAGTCATGAGCATTTAAATATCATGGCCCTTCCCTTTGTTTGTATTATGGAACTTGCTAACTTGAATCCAAAGCTATTGTTATGATTTTGTTTATTATCTAGGTTTTTCTTTATGATCCAATTTCTATGGTTGGATATGTGGATTTCCCTGCCATTGTTCTTGCAAATTTTTCTGGCATTTTCAAATCTTGTGGTCCAACTATAATATTGCTAGATATCGCCTGATTTTCTTTGATTATCATAGATTTTAGTTATTAATTTAGTTTCTATTTAGAAGACTTGAATAAGGCTTCGTTTGGGACGGCTTTTTCGCTGCTTCTTGAAGCAGCTTTCTAGTACAAAAAAATTAATTTTTTAACCAGAAAGCTGCTTCTAGAAGCAACAAAAAAATCGTCCCAAATGAAGCCTTTTGCCTTCATTTGGGATGGCTTTTTATTATTTTCTAAAAGAGCTTTTTAGTATAAAAAAATTTTGAACTAGAAATTTTTGTACAAGACTGCTTTACAAAGCATTAAGAAAGCCGCCCCAATGAAGCCTAAGGCTTCGTTTGGAAATATTTTTTTTACTGCTTCTTAAAACGAACAATTATTACGTCCTCCGACCGGACGTAGAGGAACGTCCGGTCGGAGGAAAATTCCCGCAAAAAAATGAGTTGTACTGAACAAATACCGAGCAATACCAAACAATAATGAATAATACCATCATTTGAAGACCCAATACCGAGTTTTACCAGGCTTTACCGAGCAAATACTGAGTTATATCAAAGTTGTACGGAGTTTTTCCCAGAAAAACTCGGTACAACTCGGTATTTCTCGGTACGGCTCGGTATAACTCGGTATTGATCTTCAGAGAACGGTATTCCTCATTATTATCAAATAATACCTAGTTGTACTGAGCAAATACCTAATTTTTTGACGGGAAATTGCCTCCGACCGGACGTTCCTCTACGTCCTTGCACCGGACGTAATAAAAGTTCTCTTAAAACAGAATTTCTAAACATTGATTTCACAGTTTTACAATAAGGATTGGTGCTTATTCAGAGTAGGCATTTTTGTAAGTATAACATCTCAAAAATTTCCTATTTATTGGCATATTATTATTATTTTTATAATTATTAGCACACCATCACAACTCTATTATGTTATCTATAAGCCAACAACAAATTCATGCTTTAACCAATAGAAAGTTTCATTTCATTTTGACTTAAAAAATTGATCAATTTTAATATGAAAATTTTGGTTAATTCTTTTGCTGAAAATCTATTCAAAAGTAGTCCCAAAATTATGACATGAAAATGCGTTCATTTACTTTCTTTTTACCAGCAAAAAGTAATGCTGTGTAATTCTTTTTAAATAACCACCATTGATAAATTATATATAAAAAAAGTGATATGTCAGTAAATATGACAATTTTATGGGTTATTTGCAAAAAAAAATCTTAATTGCATATTTTATATAATTGGAACCTTAAAGTTATAATGCTTTTTCTAATTGTTCCATGTGCCATAAATATAATTAGGAAGCTTTATCATATTGCTCACTTCTAGCAAGATTGGGTGTCATCCACGGGAAAATTTGAATCTAACATCCTCGAATGTGTGGGGAGCATGGATTGATTATAATGACTGGAAGACAAGCACACCTCGAAGAACATGGTCATGGCTTCATGGAAATAAAGTAAAAACTCATTAAGATGATCCAAAATGAAATAAGAGGGGCGTAGAGGAACGCCTCCAAAGTACAACAAAGGGATTATATAACTCAATAGTTTATTGAAGAAGGACATATACTAGGGTTCTCACCTCAACATCCAATGCTAGATCTATGCTGTCACACCCCAGTTTGGCCCACCCCCTAACGATCAACTTGGAGTATAAGAGAGAAGAAAAATTTAATTTTTTTTTAAAATCCACTAAGCCACTAAACTCTCATGCTAGCCGTTAGATGGAATAAGGGAAGCATCGGTCAATGCATGCAATCCTAATTGGGATTTCAAACATTCTGGAATTAAAATCTGAATTGAATATCTAATTTGCTAATTAATTGTATTAAATAGTTAATAAAATATATATATAATATATATACATATACTTTTTTTTTGGGACATTTAGGCCATTTAAGGCAAACTCACACACACGACGCATACACATAGACTCGAACCTTAGACCTCTTAGTTGGAAGCCTTAGCTCTCAACCAATAGGCCAAGGAGTATTAAACAGATTTTTTAACATCAAATTACTCTAAATTACAAAATTAAAAGTAGAATTAAATAAAATCAAGTTGACATTTAGAGAAAGCTGAAATATATATATATATATATATATATATATATATATATATATATATATATATATATATATTTCAAAACAAAAACGTGAAGTCATCAAACAACTCTTAACAAGATAATGTACATCAATCATATTTTCATTTTTATTTCATTAAAAATATAAGTGTAGTCATAACTAACAAAATAATACATATATGTATAATAAATATGCCCAATCCTTAAGTCCAGATTGATCTTCTATCTTTATCATCCCAATCAACTCAACTGGGGCATTACCTTTTTCCTAAAAATATTTACAAATACATAGGATGAGAAAACCACTTGCTTAGTTGGTCATCCGAAAACTACTACTATAGAATTCAATACAAATATACAAGAAACAACTTTTATATAATGCTATAGTATATGAATATTATATCAAAATTATAAGTAGACTATTCTAACAGTGCATTTAACAACTTAATACCAGCATTAAGAAAATATTATGAATAGGTACATATAATAATAACAATGTAGGTGTCACTTGAGTATGTCTTCAAAGTAAGGATAACATTACATAGTGTCACATGGATATGGTTGCATAACATAAACATTTCATTGAACATAATATAAAATTATAAATAGCATCACATACAACATAACATGAAGTAGCACATAGCATAATATTCACATTTCCTAATGCCTCCTTATACATCTACATCCAATTAAACCTCCATTTGGTTATCTCACATCTGTCATGGAGGACTTACATATATCCTAATTCTCCTTATAACTACACTTTCACCTATACCTCCACTTGTTCATCTCATATCTATTCAAGACAAACAGACGAATATATAAACATGTAGCTATTTTAATGCAATGTAATAATACATGAAGTACTTGGCCTTAGCATTTTCAAGGAAATTACCACACACACTCAATATTGGCAAAACATAAAACAATTCATAAACAGAATTTATAACATCATTTTGGAACTTATAATTTTATAGCACTTCATGTTAACATCAACATAATTAGTAAATTACCTAAAAAATCCTTCATTTAAAACTACACGGTGAAACTTTGAGTTTTTTTTCTTTCAAAATTCTTAGAATTCTTTATCTTCTGATATACCAAAAATTACATTATGAAAAATTATCCAAACATATTTAAATCAAGTAAAACCATTCAACTTTTATCAAATGTCCCAAATTAAAATTGAAAATTGAAGTAGGATAACAAAAGCCTGCCTTGAGATGAACCATTCCCTCAAATGTCCCAACAGACATACTTGGCTCAGTAACCTCCAAATCCTAACTTCTTATTTTCTTTCATCCCTTTCTCTTTTCTCTCCTCCAATTCCTCTCTCAATATTTCTAAATACCAAAAGGGGGTGAGGGGTATTAGGTTAATGATATTAGATATTTATATAAATGTGAATATTGGCCTAGCACGTTAATGCTAACATCCACATCATTGCTGCACTCCTAATAAATTTTGGTCCTAGAAATTCCTTATAACAAAGATATCATTGCCACATTTTCACTCCATGAACACTATAATGCTCTATCCTTAAAAAACACAAATGGAAACATCACAACACTCCTAAGAACTCAAATTCTTTTCACCAAGACAGAGAGCTTAACACAGCAATATTCCCATCCCAACACAACAATAGTCCTAAAAAAATTCTATGGTTGTAAATTTTATTTTTAAAACAATTTGCAAGAGTTCATAAACACTTAAATAAGTCCACAGTTCTTACCAAATTCACTTCAGGTTATTATAAATGGACTTAGTATTGTAGTATTGGATATTACATTCTCCCCTCTTTAGAAAAATATAATCTTCAACATTCCTCCATGTGTTATCAATCAAAATAGATATGGGTAGAGCTATCTCATTTAACTTCTTTCTCTCAAGTGCCTCTCTATCTGGCATGTGCTTCTACTAAACTTTAACTAAGAGAATTTGCTTATTTCTTAATTATTTTACATCATAGGTAAGGATATGTCTGGGTTCTTTTCTTTAAGTCAAATTAGGCCATATTTTTACTACTACTTCTTCTTCTTTAGGCCATACACATGAAATACATTGTGCACATCAGCTATGTAATCAAGTAAAAACAACATGTTGGCAGACTTTCCAACTTCACCAATCATTTTGAAATGTCTTATATACCTTGGGTATAGCTTCCCTTCTCCACTAAATCTAATTATACCACTTAAAGGATTGACTTTAAAAATACAAAATCTCCTACTTGAAATTTCATAGCCCAATACTTCAGAATAATATTTCCTTTGTCTATCATCTACTGCTTCAAGTCTTTTTCTGATCAATATAGTTTTCTTAGTAGCATCATCTTCCAGGTCAAGAGTCTCCTTTCACCAACTTCTGCCCAGGACAATGATGTCCTACTCTTTCTACCATATAGTGTCTCATATGGTGCCATCCCAATGCTTAATTTGAAACTATTATTATAAGCAAACTCAATCAAGAGAATATAATCTTTCCATCTCCGACCAAATCTAGTACACACAATTTTAACATATCTTCTAACACATGAATAATTATCTCAAACTACGCAATAGTTTGTGGGTGGAAGGTTATACAAAAATTCACAATGGTTCCCAATTCTTCTTGAATACCCCTTTATAATATAGAGGTAAGCATGCTATCTCGATCATAAATAATAATTTTTAAGATTTCATGTAATCTGCTAATCTCTCACCCATATAATTGGGTTAACTACTCCACTGAGTCTATATGTCTTATTGAAAGAAATGAGTTGACTTCATCAATCTATCAACTAAAATTAAATATCATTG